ATCATTCAGGTGGTCAGTCATTTCACGACCTGCATGCAGACTGCATTTTCGCCCTTCGTCCGCATCCGACGCCATACACTTATACTATTATTGTTGTTACATCGACCGGATACACCTCCGTTTTGACCGAATAATTGAATTAGACCCGGACAATGTCGGAGGTGTGAGAAGATTTATTACGAGGTGTTATATTATAATATTATCTACATATGTATGTACAAAAAAAGGATACCCAGCCCTTTTGTTTTTGGGGTTACGGATTTTGGATACACAGCGACAATCGTGAGGTGCAGGTAGTATACACGTGTATTTGGGTACTCCCATAAAATAATAATATAATTTACCCGTGGTAGCCTTAAAAAGTAACATCTGATAAGTGTATAATATCATTGTGAGTGTAAGAGTCAAAATTTAAAAAAAATTAAATAAACGAACGGGGTATTTAAAATTACAAATTTGAGAAAATAATCAATAGGTACCTACTACTAGATAGTTTGAACGAATGGTATTGCAGGTAAAAGTTATGATGCGTGCGTATCCGCATCACATTTGTATTTAAATTCAAAATCTAATAATCAAAGTCTTAAGACTGAATATTTAATCTTAAATATTATGATAATAACATTTTAACATCACAACACACCACTATTGTAACTATGTTAAAATAAAAAACCGTATTTTAAGGTATAGTGCCTGCACGGTGGATGAACCGAAATACCCGACGTCCCGATCGTCATAATATAAATACCGTCGTCTTGTGGTTAGTAAAATTTGGTATAGCCATAGGTACCTAATGTAATGTCTTACGGCTAAAAAATCAAAGCTAAAAAAATAAAAACAACCATCTGCCGACAGAGCTATTATAGTGGATGACGAATGAATATCGTGATAATTCGGAGATAATATTATTAGGTATTCTAAAACCAAAAATATCGAGGCAATTGTATCGTACATTAAATCTGTTTCTGCGCTCTCCGGGGACGTGGACGAAGCTCCTCTCGCAATACACACGTCTTGATTTTAGAGTTTTTGAATATCGTTAAAGCGCAAAATCCCGTGTGCAGCACTATACAGAGACTGAGAGACAGACTACAATTGCATTGTTCTTCTCCATTTGTTTTGACTAACACCACAGTAGTAATACTCAAATATTCAAAACCGAACGTTCCAAATGTATGTTAGCTTAAACATATTATTATAATAATATTCAGATCAGATCAGATTATGAATGATGTCGACTGCTGACTATTACACTATTACAATAACCGTATATTATGTAATATATAATTCTATTAAATACACATAATTAATTATAATTGGTATTGTTATGTCTTAATTTAATTCGAGAGCTATAAAGTGTCTTATCTCTTATGGTATTTTATTATTATGCATAAACATTTATCTAAGTTATTAGCATTTTGTTATAAAAACCAATATAAGTACTTAAGTTCAATAAAAATATTCTTCAACTATAGGTGTACAACCTTGTAATAATTTATTTTTTATTATATTCATAATAATTATTACATTGACTAATGAGTTGCCCATAAAAGTACGCACATTTACCCCATAGAAAAAACTTAAATTTAAGATGTGAGTATGTGACTTACCATAATAAAATTATTATATACATAATATTATCTTATGAATGTAATTTTATTAGTATCAAAATTATTTCAAGAATTACAGAATAGATATTAATAAAAAAAAAATAAATACCTACACATTTTACCTTTAGTCTTTTGTATATAAAATACCTATTAGTTGCATATTATACAGTGTAACAGAAAGACCTGACCAAAAAAAAAAAAATACTAGTTAAGCGTATGACAAAAATTTAAAAATTATATGGATAGTAAATAATTTAAAAAATGTATTTAGGTATTTCAGGAAATTCCTATAAGAACAATATTTTGAAATAAGTTATTGCGTTTCAAATTAATTTACTCTTTAATTGTAAAAATATAAACTACTATTGACCCTAATAAACGTTTGTACCTATCATCAAAATTTGTCTAGAAATTAGATTTGCAAATTGACTATTTTTAATTTTTCCATTAAATAAGTACCTAGCCTATAGGTAGTAAAATTAAAAAAAATTATTTTTGGTAAATGCTGTACTCAAGCGTCTATAAATTAAAAAAAAAAAAAAAAAAAAAAAATGGTTAAACATTGATTAGAAGTTAGAACAGTAGTTTTTTTCATTTGTCAGGTCTTTTTGTTACACTCTATATTATCACTCATCATATCCTTATCAATATTTATATTTTTAATCGTACTCTATACTCAATGAAGTAAGTGTCCAAATATAAAGTTCAGCCCATAATTCTATTAAAATGAATATAGAGTAATGTTTTGAATACACGTCCCACACAGCATATTCCAATGAAAACGATTTAATAAATATTTGATATTAAATATAAATAAGTCAATAATTATAAAATATTTAAAATTTATTAAAAATGAAATATTTATAATTAAATATTTACTATAAGTTTAAAAAAAACTTAGATATATATTTTTATAACTTAACGATTATAATATATTTAATAAACTTTCCATTATAAAATCAACAAAATCAATAGTGGGGGACGAGGTGGCCGAGCGGTCTAACGCGTCGGCTGCGGCGCTGGCAGTCGCGGGTTCGATTCTCGACCACCGGGCGGCATTTTTCTCCGGGCAAGTCACGGTGTCCGGAAAACAAGTGCCGCCATCCCCCCACTCCGGGGCATGGCAGAAACCTACGGGTGCCCAAATTGAAAATTCTGCCAAAACCCAACACACACGTGTTCCCCCCTACTACTGTCTACTACCAACAATACAATACACATTACACCTACAAACAAATCATACAGCTAATGGCCATAGCTGCCGGGTTTACGTTCAATAAAAAAAAAAAAAATAATATATACAATATATAATATAGACTATATAGATTATAAACAATTAAATGATTAGTGGCAGCCTTTTTAATTATTATAATAATTAGATAATAATTAATTAATAGATATAGTTAAATTTTATCACCTAGCAAAAATATTCAATATGTACCTAATTTATATAAATATAGGTATATATAATTATATGAATCAATTTGCACAGGTCATATACCTTAATATTATAATATAATATAGATAATAATGCAATTTATATATTTATTTTTATTTTTATTGAACTTAAAAAAACATCAACAGGCAACAGCAAAGGTTGTGTATTAGTTTTTGTGTATGTTACATAATTATTAGTGGTTACTCTTACTATAGAACTAAATTTATAATATTTATATGGTGTCCTATATGTAATTATGTACTAATTTCTATACAAACAGAAATAATATTAGCTGGGTTATCATTAATAGTAGGTTTATATTGTATTGTTTAAGTCGGTCTTTCTTAGGAAGACTAACATATTTGATATGTTTTCAATGTGTGGCCCTAATACTATATTCGTTCATGTTATTGGGTGGAATGTTGGATTTTCTGAGTTCATCGGAGTATTGATAGCACTCTGTTAGTCTGTTTTTATATGCTTTACTGGTAATATATACTACTATATAGTAATAGGGTTTATATAATGAAAAAAAATAGTTTCACTATAAATAATTCGAGTTATCGCGTATACGCGTTCACCGCCGAAACGTCCGAAATCATAGTTGATAGTTGACACGACCATTACGACCGTCCATCCAAAGCACATGCACAATGCCAATATGCCATATGGCATATGTGGTCGTGTACTCGTGTGACGTGTAGTCGTGTGCCGTGTGGAGTACGCTGAGCAAGGCCCGAGGCCGACGGTTATCGAAGTATTTTGTTTTTAGAACTCCGAGTGGGGATAACAATATTAATAGATTATCATAATATCTATAATAGTTTATTTTATATAGTATAATAATAATAATAATAATAATATCCATGCCATCATGCCGACCGCGACGGCGACACACCGAACTGTTCGTAATTGAGTGTAGACCCTAGTAGTTGATAATTGATAATTTTATATAAATAACTAAAGCCTGGTTTTTCCATCATCCAGTGCCAGAACGCACCTGCGACCCACCACCACTGCGATCGACGCTGCCGCGTCCTCTCCGTGTCTCGTACTCTATCGTCTCTGTCAGTCAGCAGTCTACGCATAACGCATCTATACAATCTATACAATTACAATATGGCCGGTAGCCCTCGTGTTAATGTGTTTATGTGTATCTTGACATCTCGTATATTATGTATTCACTGTGTTAGCCTTTAGTCATTGCCCGTTTGGTGTAGTCGTGGTCCGTGGAGACAAGTCACAACCACACAAAATATTGCGTTTTTGTGCTTATATCATACACACAGGTATGTACTACTTAAAACTATATTATGCATTTTGTTGTTGTATGGCGTATGCTGTTCACCCGTTTACTGTACGTTTCTATACGTCACATAATGTGGTCTACCATGTATTCTTTATAATTAATTGAAATAAGTACCTAATTCGTACATATAGAAATAATAATTTGTAATATTTAATCAAAATTGAGGTAGACCGCTGCGGCATTACAACAACAAAAAACTACCTATGCATCTATGTAAAAATAATGCAGCAATAAGCAAATAATATAACATTAATAGGTAGGTATAATTCTTTTTATTTTAGATTACCAGATTACAATTTTTTATTACTAACATGTACCTAACCTATAAAAAATAAAATACCTATTTATTCTAACTGTATTGTTCTATTTTGTTTGTATTTACTATTTAGGTTCCTAAAGATATAGAGGACCGTGATATATTTTATTATACACAGCAAATTATTCAATGGTCAAGCCACCGTTTAGTAGCTGGTAATTATAATAATCTTCCTTAAAAAATGGCACATTATTAGATACTTACTCAATGTTATTTTATCATATTTCACCATTTTAATCATGAGTGGGTATTATTTTTAGTTTTGAAAGTTTTAATGTACTCAAATTATGGTAGAAAATATTAGCTAGGTTAGTAACTTTTTTAATTATGTCATTACATCCAAGTAAATCTACAAAACGTAGGAGATTTTTGAAAGAAATTGAGATCACTGAAGTGTATATTGAAAGTTCAAATCATAATTTTGTGCATTCTGATAATGATATATTAGAATCTCAAGATACTGTCAATAATTTAATTGTACCTTGTAATAGTGTTGTAAATAATATTAGTGATTCAATTGAACCCAAAAGCTCTTTAATTAATGTAAGTAAAGAATTGAAAAATTTATCTTGCAATAATTTAAGTTCACTTGAAACTGTTGAAGATGAGTTAATGTTAAATGTTAGTTCATCTGATTCTGACGATGAAAGTAAAACCATCTCGGCAGAATATTTGTCTGATGATAGAGATCCTATTTTACAAATGTTGGGCAATTGGGCGGTTTCAAATAATATAACTAACGTAGCTTTTTCTGGTTTATTAAAAACTTTAAAAAAACATAAATGTTTTAATTTTTTTCCTGTAGATGCTAGAACAGTTCTTAAAACCAAAAATATTGACAATAAGCAAATTCAAAATATTACACCAGGTATATATTATCATTTTGGTATTGAAATTGGTCTAAGAGGTTTGGGTGATTGGTTTCAATTTAATGATGAAGCAATAAAAATTGTTATTGGTATTGATGGCTTACCATTAACAAAGAGTTCTCAGAGTTGTTTTTGGCCTATTTTAGGATATATACGTAATTTTCCTGGAAAATCTAAAATATTTTTGATTGGTTTATATTGGGGTAAAGAAAAAGCAAAGGATAGTAATACATTTTTAAAATACATGGTCGATGAATGTAATGAACTATATCAAATCGGTTTTAAAACACCCCATGGTACAAAAAAAGTAGTGATCGAACTTTTTTGCTGTGATGCTCCCGCAAAAAGTTATATTTTAAAAACAAAAAGCCACAATGGTTTCTATTCATGTACTAGATGTAATGTTGAAGGGATCTATTTAGATAATAGAGTATGTTTTCCCGATACAGAATTTATTAAAAAAACTCATTTAGATTTCATTAGTCGTATACATGAAGAGTATCATGTGACTGAAAGTGTATCTATTTTAACAGAGCTGCCAGAAATTGATATGGTGTATAGTTTTAGTTTGGACTACATGCACCTAACGTGCCTAGGGGTAGTTAAAAAATTAATCATGTTATGGTTAGGAAATATAAAAGGATCACCCATTTCTGTTCGATTACAAAATCGAAAAGTACAAGAAATATCAGAAAATTTGTTATTTTTAAGATCTTCTATGACTTCTGATTTTTCTAGATTTCCCAGAGGATTAAACGAAATGCCGAGATGGAAAGCCACCGAATTTAGACTATTTTTACTTTATACCGGCCCTATTGTTTTAAAAGATATATTAAATAATGAATGCTATTTACATTTCATGTATTTGCATATTTGCTTTAGGATTCTGTTAGTTAAAAATAGTAGTGATGAACTTGTTAATTTTGTAGAAAAACTTTTGTCATATTTTGTTCAAAAATTTGGTATCATATATGGACAGAAATTTATATCTCACAATGTACATGGACTTCTTCATATTGTTGATGACTATAAAAAGTTTGGCCCTTTAGATAGACTGTCTTGTTTTCCTTTCGAAAACTATATGAAGTCCTTAAAAAAAATGGTTCGTAAACACCAAAAACCTTTAGAGCAAGTAATTAATAGATACCAAGAAATTCTTGAGTTTAGTAACGCACCTAATACTTATAATTTGTTGCCAAATTCTATTGAATTTAAGAAGCCTCATAATAATGGACCGCTATTGGGCAATATTAGTTCACAATTCAGAATTGTCTTGACCAATGATGTTAAAATTAATACTAATTCATTGACAGATTGTTTTATCGGCTTCAAAAAAGAAGGGAAATTAAATATTTATAAAGTTTTAAATATTTGTTGTAATAATACAGGGCTACATTTTTTTGTTGCCAAGTCATTCAATAATATTGAACCTTTATATGACAAACCGATAAGTAGTTTAAAACTGGGAATTGCATATGTTTCCAATTTATCAAAAAATATTGTACCAATTACTATAGATCACCTGTTTCAAAAGTATGTAGTATTCAATAGTAATAATAACAAACAAATTGCGCTTCCAATCCTACATTCATTAAATAGTTAGTGTAGTAGTATAGTAGTATGTTTTTACAATATATACATACCTATTGGCTATCATAATATATATAAATATATATTTGTACAGTTAAAAATTAAGGCTTTCAAAATATAAAATAATGATAGTACTCATTTGGTATTAAAAAATTTAAAAACAGTTTTATTTATTTAATAGTTTGAATTACTTTGAACTGTTGTAGTAATTTAGTTGTATTATAAATGTTTATTGTATATATTTTATTAGGATAACTTGTGTGTATTTTATTGACCAATAATCGATCATGCCATATTCAATTGTCCATTTTTTTGGTGACAACTCGATTGAAACTGTCCCTGAGCATTGGATAGACAAAAAAAATGGCACTTGTGCTTGGCCTAACAAAAGTAAAACCGCTTCACGGCTTATTGAAAAAAAATGTATGCCTAACCAGATTGAATATACATATTTAAGATGCAGAGAATTATGTAAAGGAATTGGTAAATATAATAACATACCTAATAATTTTTCAAGTTCATCAGATTTTTTAATTAGTCTACTTTGTATATTATTTCTATAAATTAATTTGTGCATAGGTATATTGTACCTACTTATTAAATTTACTATTTAAAAAAAAAACTGTTTTTATTATAGATTCATTAGTTGAAGCTAAAACTAAATCTAAAAAAGCTTTGTACATGTCTGATTTATCGTCTACAGAAGAAACAGTTTCAGCTAACGAACGCCATAAAGAAATTATAATATCTTCTCCTACTTTGTCTACAAATTCATGCCCATTGTTTTCAGGTAATATAATAAATGTATCTATTATAGGAACTAATAAAAATTAGAATTTATCAATTTTAATGATATACTATTATAAAAATACTATGAAAATTTGATTTTAATTTAGATTCTGATAATGATCTAGCATCTAAAAAATCTAGCACTAAACCTAAGTTTAGTACAACTATGATTGGCTCTGATAATAATGAACATTTTAGTAGTTGTTCTCCATTGCCAAAATTATTAAATGATTATCCTCATGAAGCCATTATTGATGGTAAGAATATTCTAATGTCTAAATATTTTACTATTTATTGTTTCGTCAGCTTTGAAAAAAAAACTATTATTCTTGCTATATTTATGATAATAAATTATTGATATTACTTTTAACTAAGTAGTTTGTATTACAAACATAGATTCTGAATATAAACAGAGGTATAATAAGGAACCTAACTATTCACCACCTGTCACAAGTGAATCACTTAAAACCATTGATTATAACAAAACTAAAAAGCAAAACGGTTGGTCGCCATTAAAATTGAGTAGTCCAGATAAAAATGTTAAAGGTAATATTATATATTTTTACTTAATTGAAATGTAATATTGTTTTATCAACAAATTTATACTGAATCTACTATATTTATAAATTAGCATGTTCCATTTTAATTATTTTACTAGCTACATATAACTAATAAATATGTAATTTTTTTGAATTTTAGATAATAATAAAAAGCCCCATTTAAAAAAACAGTGGTCATCCAAAGATACACCTTCTACATCAACTTTTAAATCATATAGTGGAAGAGAGTACAGTCACAGTGAACCTTTCCTGTCAAAAAGAAACGTTAAATGTAATAATATGTGCTTTTCTTATTAAATTTTAATAATCTTATTAATAATGATATTTTGACACATATTATAATATTAAACAGTTCTAGATTCAGGTAATAGTGAGCCAATATTTAAAAGAAAACCATCATCCACATATACACCAACCGCAAATTTGGATTCATTAAGTAGTAAAAAACAACTTGGTCCATATTCAAAAATTAATGGTAATGTGTTTGTATATCTATATAGTTCAAATTTTAATATTTTAATTTAAATTGGTATTTTTCAGACAACAAAAATTCTGTAGTGCGAGAATTATTTTCTAGCTCCAATAAGCCTGAGGATGATGAACCATCTTTCTCACATACTAACTGTTTCGGTAAAAAGAAAAGTTATCATGTAAAACAGGATGATGGTCCAACCGGTGGCGTCATAGCTGAAGTTACACCTCAACGCTATTCAAATGGTATAATCACAATATAATAATAATAATATAATATGAGCTATTATAGTTATTAATACATCAATAATTATAAATAAAAAGTTTAAAACGCAGACTACTATTTCTAAAAATGAAATCTACAAATTAACTTGAAAAACTGTGTTGAACATGTTAGTTTTTATATTTTTATTTTATTTTAGTTGAAAACCATAAAAACTCATAGATTTAAATTAATAATTAAAAACTAAATTCAATAAAGTTGTATTCGTCTGTAGTAAACATGCAATAATATCTTTTATTTTGACAATAACTTTTTGTTAAATTTATACTTATATAAAAAAAAATATTAAAATAACTTTTTATTTAATTTAAATTAAAACTATAAGTATTATAATAGTATAATAGACTATTTTGTTAATATTTTCAGATTTTCAAAAGCAGGTATTACGTATGCTTACATACTTGACAAGTGAAGTACGATATTTGGAATCTGGACAATCAGAAATACTTAGAAAAATCGAAAATGCAGCATCTGACAACAACTTCAGTAATTCAGAAACATTATCAGAAAGTCTATTCAAAGACCTTACAGATTGTCCATTACCAATTGACAATATATTCGATCTTAACAAACTTGAAGATAAATTATCGGAAGATAAATGTTTTCGTAACAAATTGGTAGTTAAATAATTACACTTACTGATAAAGTTAAAAATAATTATATACTTATTACTTTTTTTATTAGGTTAATGAATTATCTTGCACAGGAGGAAAAAATTTAAAATTAATGGTAAAAAGAATTATGAATAAATTATTTACTGATAAACTTATGTCCCAATATTCGTTTACTGGGAAAAAAGGGAAAAACAAATTCAACAGTTTGTTTGTTTGTGCTGTTATTTTTGGTAAGTTGTGTATAATTATTTATTATAATTCAAAACCCCTTTGATATCAATACTTGTATATGCACATGTATATACATATTTATATATAATGTTAATTAATTCTATTCTCCTACAATTTTATTTCAATTTGTTAATTATTATAATAATAACACAATATTATGGATATTTAATATTTATAAGTTGTATAACTACAATATTGAATTGAAAAAAAAAATACAAATAATTTTTGAAAACCACCTATATTATTTTTTTATTACATTATTGTTTCCTATATATCAAAAATAGATGTAATGAGACTAAGATTTTATGTCATATAAATATGACATCCGTTTATAACAATATATTAAAATACATTAATGCTATTTTCTTTTTAGATTCTATTAAAAAAAGCAACAAATCTTGCAAAACTGCATCGGTTGATGAAATTGAGGAAAGAATAAAATATAATTTGGCACAAGCACCATTCAATAAAAAAAATGTTTCACAAAATTAAATAATAGTGAGTATATTATATATATTATTATATATATATATATATTATATTTCTTACAATTATAACTACAATAATCATTATGACTATATTATCATAAAGAATTGATTAAAATATAGAAATATTATAATAATGTATAACCTGCACTTAATATTCAATTAAAGACTGCATAATTTATTGATTATTAATATTATATAATATATAATAAGTCATCATAAAATAAAATTTGAGTTTGGTTGAATTTGACTTTTCTGATCACATAAATGTTGCATTACCATAAAAACCTTGCAGGCTTTGATATTAAAATATTCTGTGCTTTAATTTATTTTATGATTATTTTCAGATGAATATAATAAATGCTGAGCTAATATGCAGATAACTGTTGGATTTATATTTGCTATATTTCATGATGTTAATTTGCATTTACTTTTTTAACAATAAATTATATTATATATATTGAGTATTTCATTTTATACCTACTTCTATACTTAATTCCTGCCTAAGTACTCAGCTGTCCCATATAAAAGTAACTTCAGGTGGTTAGTCAGTTGACATGCAATTGTTGTTGGGTTGTGGCCAGGCAACTCCAGTTTTTCTCCCCCACTATAAGAAAATCATTTGTATGCTATGTAGTAAAATCTCACTCGTGCGATGAAGCATGGAGCCTGAGCCCTGAAGTATCTTATTATATAAGAAGTAGTAAAGAACTAGTAAATATGTCCATATATAAAGCATATATAATTTATTATAGTTGTAGTGTACAAGTATAATATAATATATAACCCAGTATGAAGTTTAGTATTGTTTGTTAACTAAAAAAGTCAACTCTAAAAGTATTAATAAAACTTTAAAAATTAATTTGACTTTAAATTATAATTAATTATTATATAATATAATATTATTATATATTTTTATCTTACTACTTATAATTTATATCTATTGGCAACATGCCAACATCCAAATACAATAAAATAAATATTTTTTAATCTTTTAAATAAATGTAATTGCAATTTTTATAAAACATTTATTGACTTTTAATAAATAATTATGGAATATTAAAATACAATGGTTTTACAACTTTGGTTTACAAATGTTTAATAAATGTTTAGTGTTTGGTATTTAAACAATAAATGTTTCTGGTTCAACAAATATTTATATGACTTTTATTATATATTTTAAATTATATACCAAATTAATAACAAACGATTATTAAATATTGTCATTAGAATTAGAATATTTAATAAAAATTTTAAATATATTTGTTTGCTGTGTGGGGTTGACATAACTAAAGTTTAAAGTAATTTATTCAACGTTTAAACATTGAATTATATTTGTAGAGTTTAACATTTCAGAGGAGTATTAACGTCAAAAATATATGTTTCAGAAAACAAACGATAAAAAAAGTTTTTGTTCGAAAAAATTATGACTGTTATAAAGTTTCTTTTGATATACATATATGGATTTTTAATCATTTTTTAGTTATGATACATAAGTTAGGAAACTATGATTTGTAAATAGTAGTGCATCTCCTTAAATAGCCAAAATCGAAAATAAACAATTGATTTATTGTTTTTATAAACAATCAAAAAAACACAATATAAAATTAATTTTAATTTCATTTAATTAAAATAACTCAGATTAAAATAATACAATCATTTAGCCCAATTATTTAAAATTTTAATACAATTGATTATAAAATTAATTCGAATATGGATGTTAAGCACGTTAAAAAGATTATCCGTTTTATAAGCACAATATTAATTTTATCGAAATTCTGAGATCGCGAAATGTCGTACTTTGACATTTAAGACATATAATATAGTGTCGTAGTCACTTGGACAATTATAATTAATGAATGAAACTTACGTAATATTATTTAAGATGTTTATATTTTTATAAGTTATATAATATTAAATAATTGGATATAGTGTGCCGTGCAGCCGTGCAGGGAACTTAGAAGAAATCCTTTATATAAGTTCCTTGATATTTTAAAGAAAACATCGAACATAATAATAAAAATATAGGTAAGGTAGGTAGATCGTGTAGATAAACTTGAACATTTGTCGGATCCTACTTTTTCCAGTTGACAATTTTAATTTAAAATATAATGAAATCATAATACATTAATACATATAAATATATAATACTGATAATTAATATTATATAAATTGTTAAATAAAAAAAAAAAAAATCGAAATGTATGCAATCTATTTTTTATTCTATTTAATTTACTGTTAAGTCCAATGGCCATAGATGCCATGGACTGATTTTAATAAAAAAAAAACCAACAAAATATTCACAGGATAATATAGTTTTGTGTGACTCTAGTGAGATCGATTATACTCTGTGCGTGAAATAAAGTAAAATAAATGTCTGCATAATAATTATATTTTTTAAATATTATCATATAACTAGGAACTGCAATAAATAATGGTAAACGACATTTAAAAATATTTATATCTTGGAATTGTAATAAATGTATAATTTCCTTTTTGACGATAATATTCAGTAATGGCGACTTTTGGTCGTAAGTATACACACCACCACAGTCATGAGAATCTAGTGTAACATTATTATATCGTAAATCGTAATGCTAAGTATTGATTATACGATTATACTCAGATCCCACACATCACCTCATGACCCCCGATAGACATATTATAATATCTTATTCCCTAAGAACATTAATTTAGATGCACTTCAAACGGTTTCTGCTCTTAGACAGATATATACGTTCTCGAAATCCGTTTATTACTTGTCGGTCAACTAACCTACTCCTATACTCCGTTTGAAGTGGTTTCTAATGATTAGGTAACTCGCATTCACGTGAACGGTGTACACTATATATGTAGCCAGCCACACTATGTGCGGATGCAAGAACGAATTCCAGATGGGAATGAAGGGTCAACACTTCCTTTAGCCAAAGTATTTTCAATCAGACTATTAATTCGATATTTCCCATAATAATATTTCATTATTGATTGTGCGAGTTTCAATTGTTTTCACGCGTAATTTTAAAACGCCTATACGCCAAGAGTTATAGACATCACTTTTGTACCTGCATACAATTATACAACTACCTATCTAGGTACAATTATCTAGATAAGATTTTTTGAAATAAATTATCTTTTAAAGTATCTAGATAATTATGATACGATTTATCTAATGTTTAGCTTAGATCAAAAATGGGCTTATCTAGATAAATATTATAGTGCACTTACACAATCATAAAACCAATGTTACTAAAATTCTAATATAATATACCTAAATTATTTATAAAATTAGAAGAATATATTTCTTGTTCTTAAATTGCCAACGACGGTATTACGATAATACGAGAACCTGCATGCGGGCTTGCAGTGCTTGCACTTTACACCGTTCTCTACTAGCCATAATTAAAATATTAAGACTAATTAGGTAAAGGTTTATTTCCCTATCCATTTAAAAAAATAATTAAATTAACTTCGTAGAACTGTATTTTTAAAGGTTCAATCCGTTGTTATTATAAATATTATGTCATTATATTGATATAAATCTAATATTACAAAAATACTAAAAAACAATAAAAAAAAGTGTAAAAAAAAAAATGATTTATCTAAATATTTGTCTAGATAAATGTACTGTTGTATTTATCTTTATCTAGATAAATTACTTTTATGTTATCTTTATTTTTATCTAGATAATATTTTGTTAAAATTATCTTATCTTATCTGGATAATTTTTTAGTTATCTATTCAGTTGGGAACTGATACGGTGGAGATGCCGCACCGACCCAGGTTTCTCATTTCACTTATATATTATGGCACTATGGTTGAGACGACGACGATCGCAAAGGAAACTCGTCAGGATGAACTAGACTCTTGGTGCGGCGGAGGTGTCACGACGAGGAGAACGGAACGAGATATCGAGGGCGGTGGACCTCGGTCGGCTCGAGACATAATGTCCAAGTGGACAAATGCGAATTTGTATATTATAAACTGTAAGGGGTAAGACGGGGTCAAAACATGTTAAAAAATTATATAAGCTCTCGTGAAGCGTTTGGATCTGTAGAAAGCAGATAAAAGTTTAACGGAGGGTAATTACAACCGTTGTGTATACTATATTACACAAATAAACTACACTGCGTGTGGGGAAGTAATGTTCCTCCTCATACTGCAGCTCAAAAACTAAAAAAAAGTGATGTATCTATATAACTTTTCTCATGGGAGATAGATGGACCATAATAATATGTATGATTATAAATAGTAATAAAAATAGTTTTTTAAAAAAATGTAAAACACTACTTTGCCAACGCACAGCGATCGAAACAGGTGATATAATGTCATAATATTGTCATCGCAGTTAGATACTCATCAGCTATCGGCCGCCGAATCGAATACAATGATGATAACAATAATAGCAATATGTAGTATCATGTTTATAATATTATTATAGTATTATGCCTAACGTAAAAAGAATAACGGCGGAAATACATTAAGACATTGCCGACGCATGACTCTAAACGTTTATAATATTATTATTATTATATTATTACGTTCCATTAAACTTATTGGATGCGGCTATATAATAAAAAACACCTGTTCTTCGCGGTTATGGCTGTACATTTTCCGGGAGAGCGTATGCCGTATTTTTTCTCCTCCGTTCATTTTACTCGAGAACAAACCTATAGTTGTATGTAATATTGGAAAGCCATTTTTCCCAGCACTGCGCTTGTACCCATATAATGTTATACGTATACTTAAGTATACACACACCCACACACGCCCGAACGCTCACACACATATTTATGTTGATATTGATATTGTATAATATTATATATATATATATATATATATACCTACAGACCTATACCTACAACCTACTAACTCCAAATGCGTGTGGATGCCAGGGTAATGTGTTTTTTTTTTTACTCATCCGCATGGAAATGAATATACATAAGCGTGGTGTACATAATAATATATATTTACGTGTGTACTCGCGTATATATTATGATAATATACCGA